TGCATCTCCCACAAATTTTCCTTCCTTTCTTTTTTTTCCACCCTCCCGCAGTCCCTCTGTGTACCCTCTCCCTGCTTCCCTAACTGCTGCTCCATAGCAACAGAATAACCTTCACTGAGAGGTCCTTGCACCCTGCTGTGCTCCAAACGCAAACAATAACAGCCCAGATTGTTTGGCTGCGTCCGTGACATTGGGTTTAATTGTAACTCTCCTTGGAGGTGAGCAGGCGCTCGGATGAGACTTTAACAGACAAAAGCACCTTTAATTTAGTTTCCTTTAATTACACGTCCCCTGCTGTAGCAGAGGCAGGCAAGCGGTATCTTGGCAATCTTTGTTGAGAGGCGGTTGCAGGGAGCCACCACAGCATGTTATAATTTTCAATTTTTTGGCTGCTAACTACTGTAGATTGGGTTTTCATCTAAACCTATATTAAAAATCAGCCATCACTCCGTTTTAACTTCCTTAAAATGTTCAGGTTTTCTCATAATATTCTGCTTCTTCAGGAGTTTATCCATAAATCCAGCAAATGTAAAATAGTGAAATGCTCCAAAGAGAAAATCTGCTCAAGCGTGAAGCTTTTTTTCCCTGGAAGAGTAGATTGAGTAGAGGGCATAATGTGCTTGTAGCTGGCTAAGTCTGTTGGCACACATGAGTCCCCCTTTGTGCTTTTAAGCCCTCACCTGCTAAATGAAAGCTCCGTAATGGTATCAAGTTACAGTGTGTGGTAGAGGCAATTTGGATTCAGCGAAGCGAAAAATAACTTTCGCCTGAGTTCTCACCTGTAAAGGCCCCCAGAACGGACAAAAAAAAAAAGGCACGTAGCATATTAATACACAAATGTCGACACGCAACTTCAATCTGAAATGAGTCGTGAGCAGAAGAGAGATGCATTCAGTAATACGCTGCAGCTCTATGGCAGGTTTTTGCAAGGCATGACTGCTGTGACAGTGGTGGTGTACAAGATGAAACATTCCACCTGAATGCTAAACAGGAAGTTGTTTGAAAGAGAAGCTTGCAGTATAAAAAGAAGCCAATGAATACTTTATCTTAAGCTGAGTACAGACTAAACGACTGTCAGGCCTGTTGTGAATGCAATTTGGACTCGTTGACGGATTGAGTGTCTAATTTATGTGGTTTTTTTTGTTTCTTCCACAGAAGTAGCTGGAGCTTTTATTTACCTCACCTGCAGAAAGTATCAAGGCCTTTATTTGAAGGGGGCTTTTATTAAAGACTTTAATTTATAATTCCTTCTGTTTGAGCCTAATATGTACAACTTCTCATATTGATGTGCTCCCATTTCCCTGTTAATAGTACAGCACTACACTGTTAACACAAAACAAACTCCTACCAGGCCCTGTGGTCATTCAGCATTACAGTGAACATTTATTAACAAGGACTTTATTGTGAGATATCTGCTGGATCTCGTATTGCTTCAGTAGACCTGTTGGGTCGTGCACCAGAGGAAAGACCAATCAAGCTGTTACCCAGTGACTACAGTGACAACACTACTACACTACATTGTTATAGCACTATAATTTATTATGCGAACACTGTTAATGTCACTTGTAGGAAGGGGGGAAAGAAAAAAACTAGGGTCAAACATTTGTAACTAGAAGCAGATTTTGCAGTTCATTCAAGAAAAATTGCCGTACTTTGAACATGTGTTCTGTATATAAGAGGAGCACTGAGAGATTTTTGAAGACCTGTGAAGAAAATCACATAAAACACAAAGGAACACAAAATGAAAAGAGGAAAAAACAACATAAAAGCCACTGTGATTTAAAAAAATATGGATTTCACCACGTGGGTGGCTGATTCTTCTGGGTGGGTGAAATTTATCTCTGTGGACACGCCTCTGTGGCCAGACCTCTGTGATATTTGCTTTGATGCACACCACGAAAAATAGGGGAAGCAGTGCTTATTACATTATAGTGCTTGTTATACATCATGAATTATGTGCATAAACTTGGACATAGAAGAAAGGCAACGATACCCAAAGAGGACAAGTTGGATTTTTAATAATTTCTCTGAATAATAGATGTATTCCAGTAATACTCCGCAGTGTGATTATTAAACGTTGGCCCTTTTCACACTTTCTGATGGTTCCTTTGTGCCTAAATGTGAGTCAAAACCATTTCCAGTTTGTGATATTTTTGTGACTTTGTGTAAAATCTTTGACACGCTTTGGTAAAGCAGCTGTCTGTTTTATCAGGATGGTTAGAGTGGCTGATGTGTAAGTGTATTAAAACAGCCAGTGACAAGTTGGATGAGAGCTAGAAAAGATGATAAAAAAGATGGAAGTGAAACGTGTGACTAAAAGAAATAAAAATCCTCACACGTGTCTGGGCGCAGCAGAGATGAACTAAGATTGGGGAAAGGGCCGATGTGACAGCAACAATTGCGTACAGTTGCAATGATTAAAGAGAATTATGCAGGACCTGTAAACCAGGCCTGCTGGTGTGATATTCTCTGCCAGACGCAAACTTGGCAACTCTCCTGCTGGAGCAGAGCTGGTGTTAGAGGGAAAAAGGGAAGAGAAAAAAGACTCCACTGCGGAAGACTTGTGAAATTATTAATTTAATTTACTTGTGAAATTGTTGGGCAAGAGGACGGATGGACTGTGTAATCTTTGAGGTGGTCTTCCATTGTCTTCTTTTCTTCCTTTCTACCTTTTATTTCTCGCTATAGGCAGAGACAAGAACAGCTTGCTCTCAATGTGTTTGTTAGTATTTCAAGTGTGCATTTAATAATACTTAACAGAAGTAGACCAAAAATAGGTTTGTGGCTACTCTCTAAATATCTCAAATCTGTCACTGTTAGGCCATTTGCCAGTTTTATTTGGAAAAATATGGAACTAAGTTGAATGAATTAGCGAACATGCTGAGCTTCACTTCACTAAAATGAAACTAGGACACCTAAATTTTTATGGTTAATGATCAATAAAAAGTGTGCAGGAAGCCAGAACCAAGCATTGAAGCATTAAAAATAAAATTAAATAGCATTAAGTAAGTTAATAAAATTATTTAAGACTCTTGTTATTGTGTAATGTCAATGGAGCAGCTGCATGCATTGTTATCAGGCTTTCAGGGGGGCAACAAAAATGTGAAGTTTTCTATTATGTGATATTTCCTGGCTCACTGATAAATGTATTTACTGTTTTATGTTGGTTTATTTTTTATTACACGTGTTTGTGTTGTAGCTCTTTTTGCTCTCACAGCTCAGAAGGTGGAAAATCAAATCAAAAATCAATTTTATTTTAGGACAGATTTAATGTGGTGTTAATGTCTGCAGAGTTCTGTTATATGGTGTGGCATATATTGGAAAATTATATATTTAACAAAAGTATGGCTGTTAGTTATACAAGAATAAATCAATGCGTTTTATGCCAATTAATTGCATTGTTGCTGCTGTTGTTAACAGCAAAATTCGATTTACTTTAGAATTTTTTTTTATGAGCTCTCGTTTTAGATAGCTGCATTAGCTCTCTCATTATTTTACTTGTTTGTTTATTTTTAGCCTGATCATTCGATTGGTGGAGCTATTATATCAGCTGATGTTAACTATGGGAGATATATCAATGTCTGCATTCATAACAGCCAGTAAACAAAAATGAAAAACGTGAAGAAACACCCTTCAATCGTGTAATTACTGTTGATGTGACATTGTTTGTCCACTAGAGGGCACTCTGCAACTTCCCTGTTAATGACAGGCATTTGAAATGCCGTAAACACAACTGCCAGCTGGTGCTAGCAGATCATCCGCAACTTATTGTGACAATAAAACAAGATTTCTTTTAAGTTGCATTGTCCTATTCTCCTAGTAAGCACATACATAACAAATGTTAGGGATCTGTTAAATGTGTCTGGAAGAAAAACATAGTGACTGATAAGTTGAATTTTTAAATAACCAGTCTTAAAAATGCTGTATTAGTTGGGCTCTGGTTTTTTAATTCAACAGAGTAAGAACACACTCAGTCTTCTCCCTTTTCCAGGAAACTGGGACACAGACTTTTAACACAAAAGGAAATAGCCGCCCTGTTATTTGATCAGTCACATCTTAATATGAGCCTTTGAGGTGGTGAGAGCTTTGAAGTCAGCCATGCTGGATATGTGCAGGGACACTGCTCTGCCAGTATCTCGAACATTAAGAACCGGTGTTGGGTTGACACAAAGGCCTTAGTGTCTGTTTACCAACTTAGACCATTTCTGTTCCCTGTTAGCGAAAATACCCACTCTTCTGGCAGCCATGTCTGCTGTGATTAATGCTTCCCAGTAGGAGTCAGAGTGTAAGTCGAAAGCAATGCTTTAAGGATAGACTGAACCTTCTCTGACCGCCATCGAATTGTTGATGTCTCATTGCGGCTGCTGATTGATTGGTTAGGGTTTAGCAGTCTGAGTTTACATCACAGAGAGAGAGAGGAGCATTCATGCATTCATGTTTCTCACTGAAGCTTCTCCACGAGCCAGAAAGTTCATTTCAAAACGAGACCGCTGAGTTATGGCTTATTAAAATCTATTCTTATCCAAGTTGTAAAACAGTGTTCTGATGGAAAAAAATGTTTATTCGCTGAGCAACTTCAGCAGCTGTGTTGTTGTATAGCTGGAGCGAGTTAGTGTGTGAATGTGTGTGTGCGTGTGCGAACTTATGTGTAGGAGAGAGGGAAGGAGGAAGTCGGGAGTTGTGGGAGAAAGATACTGCCACTTGTGACAGACTTAAGAGCAGAGTGACTGACAGAGGTGAAATTGCTTGGGAAAGGATGTGAGGCTGCTCCTCCTTTCCCTCCTCCCCTCCTCCCTTCTGCTCACTTTCCCTCCAGACTTCTTTCACTCGCGAATGAAGTATGAGCTACTGTATATGTGCTCCCTTTGTCTTTGAGGTGAGCTGTTCAGTCTGCTTCCCATGGGTAGCAGTGGAAGGTAGCACAGTAGTAGAGTGAGATAAACTCTGTTTTCTTTTTTTGTGTGTTTTCTCTCTTTTTCCTTTTTTTGATGTTTGTATAGCCATGCATCAGGCCCTGGACACACTGAGTGACAGCACAAGTTCCACAACTGCCAATGACCTGGACCTCATCTTCCTCAAAGGCATCATGGAGAGCCCAGTGGTGAGAATGACTTCAATAAATAAATACATAAATAAGTGTGTGAAATGTGTGTGTGTGGCGTGGATGTGTTCTGCGGCTCTGCTGCAGAGGAGTTGTGAGGCAGTGGATTTGTGATGAAACTCTTAGCTCAGAACAGGTGATAAGAATTAATGGCCAAGTGGCGCTCCCTGATGCAGCACTGACCTACCTGCATTTTGTGTTGATCACAGATAGGCTTTATCGAGTGAGCCGTGACACTTGCACGGAAGATGAACACATCCAGTTGGTGCCTAAAAGCTGCTGGGAAGTGGTTTTCCACTACCATTACCAGTGTGCCCATTACCATTAATGGAGGTCCCATATGACCGCATTGGCATGGACCTCTCGGGGCATTTCACTGGTGGATATCACTTTGTATTAGTTCTGGTGGATTATGCAACGTGATATCCCAAAGCAGTGCTGCTGCAGACCATTTATGCAAACAGTGTGGCACAGGTGCTGTTTCAGGTCATCTCTCGAGTCAGCATCCCGAAAAGATACTGACTGACCATGGCACATCGTTCATGTCTCGAAAGTAAAAGAACTGTATGAATTACTGGGCATTAAATCAGTTCAGACTGGCGTCTACCACCTTCAGACTGACGTGGATTGACGTGGTGGATTGGCTGAATAAGACTTTAAAATTCATGATTCGTAAGTTCATTCATGAGGATGAGGATGGTGTAGCCCCATAGTCTATAGGGTTCTGTGTTGACTACCACAGAGGAATCAAGTGTCACGGTTTGACACTTATTCCATGCCCTGGGTCGACGAGCTCCTGGACCGGTTAGGCACTGCTCCCTTTTTCAGACACTGGATTTAACCAAGGCCTACTGGCAGATTCCCTTGTCTCCAGAGTCCAAGGAAAAGACAGCATGTTCCAATCCGTACAGTTTGTACCATTTTGCCACACTTCCAATTTTCTTATTTTTTTTGAGTCCCAGACACTTTCCAGTGACTTATGGGCCAGGTGCTGCATCCACACGCTGCATATGCTGCGGCCTACCTGAATGATCCATCATCCATAGTGACACCTGGGTGGAGCATGTGCAGTGGGTGGCTGGGGTCCTGGAGTGTCTGAGGCAGGGGCTCATTGCCAACCCGAAGTGCACAGTTGGATGTATGTAGGTATAATATTTGCAGTACCACTTGGGGGTGGGGGTTAGTCGGCTCGGCCGGATGGCTCCCCGGCCTCAGTCGGGAAGTGGTGGAGCAGTGGCTTCAGTGGGAAGTGCCAGAAGGCTGACAGAGCAGCTGGGACATATTTTGGTGATCAGTCGTGCTAATTCAGTTGCAACCTGGGACCGCAAGAGAAGGCTGCGCCAGTAACAAGTTGGGTGAAAAATTGTAAAGTTGCATATATAACACAACGAGTAACTAACAGTGTGTACGTGTGGGTCATTCGTGTCACAGTGTGTATGCCTGTGTGATGTGGTAACATTGGGGACGTATTTTAAGTTAGATGCAAGTTTGTTTTAGAGAAAAATCACCAATATTTTAAGGATGCATATTTATAATTTTGAGTTCAGTAACACAGAATAAAATGTTAAAACTTCTGTGTTTGAAGTTTATTTCTGTATAGTCATTAGCATGCCTTTAAACATATCTTAATTCTTTGTAGAACAGATTCAACAAGGTGCTGGAAACATTCCTGAGAGATTTTGGTCACATGATATTCACATGATAGCTGCACATAGTTGCTGCATATCTGTTGGGGGTACATCCATGATGTGAATTTCCCATTCCATCACATCCCAAATGTGCTATGTTGAACTGAGATCTGGCGACTGTGGTATACATTGAACTCATTGTCATGTTCTTAAAAGCCATTCTTCTCTGACTTCTGGCATCAACAAAGCATTTACGCCCAGAGAACTGCCGCTCGCTTCCTCTCTTTTAGACCATCTCTGTAAACCCCAGAGATGGCCGGGAATGTTGGGAAAATCCCAGTAGATCAGCACTTTCTGACCTCTCTGGCAACAGCAACCACGCCACATTTCGAGTCACTTAAAATCAGCTTTCTTTCCCATTTTGATGCTCGGGTTGAACTTCAGCAGTTTCTACATGCCTCAATGCACAGAGTTGCTGCCAAGTCTTTGTGTTTTCTCTTAAATTTTCACATCCTATGAAAAGCTTTAACACTGTTACATTAAAAGTCATTTTTGCCATGTTCTTTTTTTTTTTTTTGTTACTAAGCTACCTGGGTATTGGAGTTAAGTCTTTAAAATATCGTCAGTACATTTTTGAAATGACTATTCAACCAGATCCACTTATAGCCATATTTGGTGTTAAAGAGCAGAACAGCAGGAATCTGTCTGTAACTAAGCTTAAAATAACAGAGTTTGTCAGTTTATTAGCACAGAGATTGATTCTTCTGAATTAGACGAGCCAGGTAAGCATCTAAAACTTAAGAAATTAAGATTCACTGTGCATGGCTTTTCTGATTAATCTCAGAAAAACTGGAAACTTTTGTGGACTACATTAAAAGCTAAGCTTTAATAACCACCCACAATTCTATTCTGAATATTATTTAAAATTGATTTATTAATGTGCTAGCCCCATGTCAGGCTGACGCCTGTCCAGGGTGTACCCTGCTTCTCGCAATCTGGTAGCTGGGATAGGCTCGAGCTCCTCCCTCGCAACTTTAATAACAATAAACGGAAGAGAAGGGACGGATGGATTTACTAGCATGTTTTAATTTGACTTTTCATGGGAGTTTTAGAATTCCTATTGCAAGAAGACTAGAAAAAAAGCTTTGTACCTGCCTACTTGTTTAAATTTTACCTCTTTACGAAGCACACATAGCCTCTCTTTGTTGCTTAGCAATATTATTAGCATGGTTTTTTTTTTAAATTTGGGGTTTACAACTTCTCTCAGTGGTTTGAAGTGCTTGAAGTTTAATTCAGAAAGCTAGAATAAACATTAATATTTTGAGGAATTTGCCCCCCTTACTGGAGACAAATGAGAACAAGATACTGGCCATTAAAGTTTGTTTGCCTCATAAACACTCCCATTAATAGAGATTGGGAGAGCCAGCTGAGCATGCTCAGCAGGGGCAGGAACCAATTTTGTTGATGCTGTGCAAACTTAAACCCAGCTAACGCACACCTCTGGCTTATGTCACTGCTGTTGGCACAGGTGGAGCTTGTTTCTAGGCGTTTCATTGTTGCAGCAGGTTGAATGGATTCCAGAAAATATGCAAAAATACACAAAAAGGTTAAATGTGTCTCTGCACATAACAAAAAATAACAGATAAACATATATTTCTTTTTTTTTAGAAGTATTAGCATTCCTATTCTTTCAAACCTGTCAGTCATTTAAACAACACACATGAAGGGAACAGCCCACTTATTCTTGATTTATTCAGTGCAGATGGCAGTAGCAACTCTAATGATCACTAAAAACATGAAGTAGATTAGATTAGACGTAGATTTAAAATGTATTTATTTATTCAAAGAGCTGTGCTCATAAGAGATGAGACATGTTCCTTATAACTCTCTTTATATTTACTGCATTGAAAATGACTCACTTGCACATTTTGCATAGGCTTGACAAGCTCTCTGTACATTATAATGCCTGTGTGGTTTTCACACACAGAATGTTTTGATGCCTTTTTCTTTCACTGCGAAATGTGACAAAAATATGACTGTGGAATTGATTGTATCCAGCCTTGGTTTGAGCTGCTGCTCTGTGAGGTACTAAACAATCTGCTAGACTTAGCGTAAAGGATGCATTCATCAGTTTTTAATGAGACTTCCAAAATCTAAAATGTAAAAGGAGAACCTTACACCTTGTGATACTCGCTACTAAAGTATTACAGCAAAGAAGAAACAAGGATGAAAAAGGCTGCCATGCCACTGAAACATCTTTGATTTACTCTACATGCACTCTTCTTTTTTTGTCATCAGTGAAAATAAACATGTTCAGTTTATACAGATTGCGTTTGGATTAAAGAGAGAGAAAATCAGTGTAGTCGTGCCTACAACATCATCCTTTTGTCCAAGAAAATTCAGACATGACTGGCAGTCTTTTTTTTTTTTTCTGTCTAGACTGGTAAAATATTTACTGTATCAATAATAGAGCAGGTGCCATCAACAATTCAGTAACTGAATATTTTTCCATAGGCCTGATTTTAGTGACAGTCAGCTGTTTCTCTACGATGCCTTAGTGTGGATCCTTGCATTTCTTCAATCATCACGATGTATACTTGCACATAGGCTGCATGGCTGAATAACCGAGCTGATTTCTCAAAAACTACAAAGTAGTACTCTCCATGCACATGATGAGAGATGCAATTTCTTAGCTGTCCTCATGCAAAACCAGCCCTAGGTCATTCTTATTCAAATGGAGGTACAGGGTATAGCTTTTTGAAGTGAATGGAGCTGAGTGGAAGAGCTGAGTGGTGCCAGACAGTTTTTTTTTTTTCGCAGTTTCATCTCACTACGTCTTCCCCTCCCACTTCTTGCCAAGAGCAGAATTTTTCTCATCCCTTTTTAAAAACCCGGACTTTTTTTCCCCAAGCAACAGGAGGATAAGGAAAAAGCTTCCCGTTGTGCACTGTAAAGACATGCAAGGAAAAAGTATATGTAATTTAAAGTATAGACAGAGAGTTAATTTTTCCTTATATTTGTGCTGCTAAGAGTAAAGTTGAAGTTGTTTCTCTGTCCAGGGAGATGCTCCTTGCATCCTTTCTCTCTCTGTGTCCCTTTCTGTTGCTTCGTTTTTGGTATGCTTTGAGACATGTTTGTGTGTGTGAGTGCGTGGCAAGAGCATGACCCTGCTATTTGTGCCGAGTGTCTTAGAGACATACAGTCCCAGTGTATTGATGAGCATCCTCATAAAAGATTCATCTGATGCAAGCTGTGAGTCTTGGTGAAGGATTTAAGAAGGATTTCCTGGACGGTGGATTCCCTTTGACTCGTGGTGGATCTATAAACACTTAACGAGCTTTTGCTTGATGTGCTGAGAGACCGAGAAAATGCTAACAGAGAGACGGGGACGATAGAGCGAGTGTTCATGTGTGCACGCTTATGGCACGGTGGCTGCAGTTATGCTAATTGCACAGAACAATGCAATCAGCACAACCCACAGTTCTATAAAGAATCAGAATCATGATTACAGGACATTTAGCAGATATTGATAAGAGGAGCTGAAGCTCGAATATTCAGTTGCAGCGCTTCATTATTATCAGTTTTGTGGTACTGACTCAGCACCTGGCTCTCTATCTAACAGAGTAGTCGGAACTATTAAAGTAGTTAGGGCGACTAAATGAGCCGACGCTTGCTTTGACACTTTCAGCTTTGTACCCCGTGCTATTTAATCTAATTTCTAAGCCGTCAAATGCCGCCTGTTCAGACTGTTAATGAGACTGCGGTGTCTTGGTAAAACAATGCCACATGGCTCTGAAATAATGAACCTTGGTACTACTCACAATGGCTTCTGCAAAGTATCTTTCTATAATACAGCAAATCTCTGGCTCTGTGGTTATCCATGACCTCCTGCACCATCAACTTGGCACACAGTGATATAAATTGGGACCCTGAAGGCTCTAATCTATATTAGATATTAAGGCATCATTGTGTTGCCCAGCAACCAACCACTAACAACTAATACTAAAATTGTTATATTTGAATGATATATGTGATTTAATATGGTGCAATCACATTGCCTGGCAACCACCTAACAACAGACTAATGTAAATGGACCAAACAGTGCTATAGCATGGGATTATTTTAAAATAAGGTCCTCATGTCTCACAAACCTGGCATTCAGTTTATGTTTATTTCTATAGCTGACATAGAGGTCCTGTTGAATTACAGCTGATATCTCAGGCAAAGGCAAGGAAATTGTCTCATGCAGCTTGTAAAATGGCAAAAATGAGAGAGTGAATTTTTACAGACTAATATAATTGTAACACTGCTGCGCCAGCTTTGTTAACTGGTTGTCTTTAGAGCACCAGTGCTCATTAGCCTTGATTACTGAAAAGCCAAGATAAAGAGTTGTACTACTGGTTACTAGGGGTGGGAGAAAATGTGGATACTTATCAGAGTCTCGGTACACTTCAGCCAAATATGAATATTTTTATTTTAACATGGGCTTGCTCTAAACGGATTATCCATCCATCCATCCATCCTCGAGGATTAAGACAGATGGCCAATTTAGAAATATTTGACTTAGATTCATAAGAGTCCTGACTTACTATGGTGGTGCTTATTAAATGTATGAAGGTCAAATAAAGCGATGCTAACTCACTTGCAGTTGAAGAAAAAGAAAAAGGAGAAACTCTTTTCCTCAGATTACTTTTTATACCCCTCAGCTATAAAAGGCTGGCAGGGTATTGTTGGCCACTGGCTGGGTGTGCAGGCGGCGTTGACACCCAAGTTTGTGAATGTGATACCTCAAGAACGAGGTGAAGTAGGGACTTTAAATTATTAAGTTACTTAGTTGTTATTTAGTTACTTATTAAAATAAGCAGTCTGTTACTGTAACCATGCCACTGCATTTTCTTCTTAGTTGTTACTTCCGTCCATGACTTCTAGGCATTCAGCTGAGCTCGTGGATATGGTTGCATTAGCAGGCTTGTTAAGGTCAGTTAGTGAGGTGGCAGAGAGTTTTCATGTGGCAGTATTTGCATCATTTTATGCCAGAGGGATAAAATGTTGCTGCTGTTGCTGCATCTCTGAAACTGCAGCGAATAGCTTTTAGGTCAGCTTGAGTTGTCACTCTGAGGGGAATTAATAGTCCTGCGTGCTGGGCATGTGATTGAAGAGGTGCTGCCAATGACAGCTCGCTCTGCAGGTTAAGTCAGGATTTCCAGAAGTAGATGAATGGTAGGATGGACACTGTAACACATAGGTAAGGTCATGGCAATGTTTTCTTAAAAATTTATTTTATTTTATGTGGAAGTTTTCTTGCGTACTCTTATCATTAGGTAATACTATAATCTAGGAGATTGCTTTTTAACTGTGCTGAAATTACTTCTAAAAGGAATGCCACTCATCACCAGAGAATAAATGTGTTATTACTGCAGTTTTCAGAGTAGATGTTTTTCTTCACTTACACAGATCTGGGTTTTTTTTGTGTCAATCGCATTGTGTGTATACCAGTTATTCTTACTTCTACTCTCTGCTCATACTATGTTGTTCCTTAAGGTTAGAAAAGAGCTGCGTGCTTGCTCGAATGCCTGAAGATAAAACCTTGTATCCCTCTGTGTGTAGTACCGTGTAGTTAAGTACACAGATTTATGCGTTTGACTGAATATCTGTGGATCTGTTTGTGCGTTTACGTGTAAGTTTCTTGTCCCCCGGCATGGATCCTTCATCTCATCCTCAGCAAACAAACATTTTAGCTGCCAGGGTAGTAGTCAGTCCCACCACACAAATACTCTGTGGGATTGCCCAACAATATGAATCTACAAGCACAGCACCGGTTAGTGTGCAGTTGCCAATTGTGTCACTGTAAATGATTGCATTTGCATTTGGTTTTTGAAAAACAGCCTGCATGTAATTAAGTTCTGTAGCAACTGAATGGTTTGCAGAGCATAGCACGGTGTACCATAGAGAGGTTTAACCTAGAGTCAAGAGTCACATGATAAGTTTGCTCACTCAGAGCCAGAGGTGTGGAGACCTTGTGTACGTCTATCTTTAGCAGCAGGGGAGCGGAAAGTGAAAAATGAATGCTCCCTGAAATATTGATGTCTCACATCATACCTTGAAAAACCTGCAGGGTACATGTTTCTGCTCAACTTGGTGCCTGTAGTTATTTATTTTTATTTTTGTATCATCAAGTCACCATTTATGAACACAGGCTGTGCGCTTGTCTCTGCAGGAGCTTGGATTGAGGTTACTTGGTTTTGTTTTGTTTGCTATTGTGCTCTTTGCTACTTCGGCTTTGCTAAATTTGTTGTAACTTGACAAGCTACTTTGCTGCACTCATTAAAAATAAAATAAAGTAGGAGATTGTGTAGTTTTGCTCCATCAGTGGAAAATACACACAACACGTAATAGGAGAGACAGGTAATGGACTGAGATTGGAAGGATAGCCTGGAGTAACATCTGTCTTATATTAATCGAATCCTAGGCTCATGAGCGATTTGAGGAACCCAAGCTTGAAGCTGTGCGTGAGAACAATGTGGAGCTGGTCCAGGACATCCTCAAAGAGCTGAGCCCGCTCGCGAACAGAAGCCAGGCAGCTGATGAACTTGTTCGCATCCTGAAGGAACCCCACTTCCAGGTCTGGAAAACACGACACATCCCTCACATCAAATTTTAATTTGAATAAACCAGCACTTGTCTAGCTTTTTAAGCTTCATGAAACATGATTTCCCTTACTGGAGCTGCAGTACTTTGTTGCTCTGATGGCAGAGCCTCACTGATGAGAGCAAGACGAGATAATTTTTTGCAGTTTATGTAATGTGTATTACATCACCTGTCGGTATGTTCACAGTCCCTCCTGGAGACTCATGATTCTGTGGCATCCAAAAACTATGAGACTCCACCACCGAGCCCCTGTTCATTCATGGACGCAGCCCTCAACAACCAGCCGGTTCCTCCAGACGCAGTCAGGATGGTCGGCATCCGTAAGGTGTCTGGTGAGCACCTGGTAAGTCTGCTCAGTAAAGAAAACCTGCAAAGTGTAATCATTAAGGCTGGATTGAGCCTGACTATAAACTGTAAGCAGATAAAACACCCCAGAGAAGTGGAGGATTTATGCTTTGGGTGGAGCATATGCACTCAGTATAATGAGATTTTTCTCTACCATTGTTAAAAAGAGACAAAAGTCAGATTTATGCGGCATTGTAGCGCTAAATTGGTGTGATTTATGTCCACGGTGAGCAGGCACATACGGATAATTTGATGATAACTTTGCCAGATGCCCTATTGTCTCACTTTCTGCACACAAACTCTCTGCCATCTTTCTCGAATCAACCAATCACGGGTCAGAGGTGACGAGACATTAGTTTAAGATAAAAAAGAAAAATAAGGTGCAATAATAGTGATTCAATGTTAAAGCAAGAAGCCTGAAATATATCTCTTTAAGCCTAAATGTCTTTCTAATATAACAGTAGATATGTTTGCATCTGTTGGCTTCCTAATTTCAGCTCAAGTGATTTTACCATTGGCTTCATCCCTCACAATTAAATTAAACACTCACCCCCACTCGTCTCTTAAACCACTTTACAGTGGAGGACATTGCCAGGCTGTCCCCCTGGGTCTCCTTCTCTAGTTAGCCCGCATGAAAAATAATTATTACACTGAGACTCTGTACATGTGCACAGGGAGTGACTTTTCGAGTGGAGAGCGGCGAGCTGGTGATTGCCAGGATCCTCCACGGTGGCATGATTGACCAGCAAGGTCTGCTTCATGTTGGCGACATCATCAAGGAGGTGAACGGCAAAGAGGTCGGCAACGACCCCAAAGTCCTCCAGGAAATGCTGAAGGACGCAAGCGGCAGCGTTGTACTGAAGATCCTGCCCAGCTACCAGGAGCCGCACACACCTAGACAGGTCGGTCATTTTTAGGAGTGTTTACAAAGCAAACCCGATTCAAGCTTTGCTTCAAATCAAGTTAAATCTGTGCAGTTAAAACTTGTTCTGCAAACTCTGCTGCATCATAGCTGTTGCTCTTTGATCACACATGAAAGATCCCCAAAATACCTAAATGGCACAAACTGGAGCTGGAAATAAATATAAAAAGGACACTTTAATGGAACTTTCTGTGCTCGAAATGCTTTGATCTTCCACATTTAAGCTTCTGTTTTTGTTAAAGTAGAATACATTGTGGAATAAATATTGCATAAAAAGATTCAATTGATTTAAAAGTATACAGTCATTTTCATCAGTAAGCACCACTTAATGTCCTCCCTGGCATCCACCCTGCTATCTATAACCTTGCACGCTGTGCCAGGAATCATTATGTAATACCATAATGGGACTTTTTAGATGACACTGGCTATTTAGCTTTAATATGTGCATTACAGCTTTGTCACTTATCCAAATGCAGAGCAGTTTTCCTGCACCCATGCATAATGGATCTGTAATTGAAATCGTCATGAGCAAGCTAGAGAAAGATCTCACAGGCAGCTTATAACGCAGAGGATCCCCTTCATATGTTTGCCTTTTTTTCATTATTTCAGATGCCACAGTTGATTGACTATCAAATGTTTGCAGGAAATTGCTTGGTGTAGTGCGTAGTTATTAGTTGATGTCAGTGCTCTCCTCTGGTTATGTTAGCTGATGAGCATTAGCTTTCTAAGAATCAGACTGATCAAACTGAAACCCGCTCACCGAGTTTAGTATTGAGGGGAAATTGAAAGGTTATCTTGCCTGGTAAATTTTTGCCAATAGGATGCAAGGATGAGAGGATGCAGTGTACACAACACTGCTACTGATTGGCCTCTGCGAAGAGGAAAAATGCAGTGAATCTTGAGAAGCTGGGCTAAATAAATTCTTTATGTCTAACCAACATATACAAGAACATCGTTTATAAGAAAAGAATGGTAAATGGTAAACGGCCTGTATTTGTATAGGTGAAAAAAAATCCAGCTTATATATGAGATTATACTATAAAGATAGTTTGCAGTTAAACTGTTTTTGTGTTCACCACCTACTAGAAATGTATTTTTATAGTCCTTTAGTGTGAAGAAAGCTGTGATTTTACAAAGCTTACGATCGTCTAATTTATTGGTTCAGACATGCATGACAGAATAAACTTTAATATCTTTGGTTTAATTTTCCTCCTGAGGAAAAAGATATATCATGAGGACAAAATTTTAAGACACCTGTTTCTGACTAGATTTGTGTGAAAAAAATGTCTATTTCTGTCTATTTCTTAATTCCGGGATTTAATTAATCAAATACAAGCGATGCTTTGGCCTCAGTGCGTGCATCAGGTTACTGTCACACTAAGACGGGTTTCTCACTCTCATCTTCACACATGCACATTTGTAAAGGACCAATAGTATCGCGTTTAAACCACAGATAGCATAAACCAACATGGTGATGTCTGAAACACTCAACTCGGTGACTTCAGAAACCAGTGCCTGTCTTTTATACTGTCTGTGAATTAAACTCATTAGGTAAGTTTAATTCCAGGGGTGTGTTTTATTCCAGAACCACGATCTGTTTCTAAACCTAACCTCATTAGTTTTGGTGTAAAAACCAGACCAGCAGCTGAACATGAAAGTACACAAAACAGCAGGGAGTAAAAGCAAAACAAAACAAACTCCTTGAAAAGACTACGGCCAACAAATCACCATCCCTCCCTTATACACTCTAATGTGTCAAGGCACTGACTTCAAAAGACACCTTGTGCATATCTTTACGATGGTAGCAGAACCTTACAGAACAGAAGTATTTCACACATTAGGATGATAGCACCCTGCACCAAAAGACAGCGTTCAGTCTGGCAAAATTGCTCAAAGAAGGCCTTCATGTATAAGAGAAATCACCTCCTTTCCATTCAGCACCTCAGAAGAGTCTATCCTCAGGTATAGCTCTTCATGGATTTCAAAAGATGCAGATTTCTTTGTAAGAATACATATCTCCGGCATACATTATGGTCTAAAAGCCTTCGCTTTGTTGAGGGTTTAGTTTTCCTTTTTTCTATGAAAGCTGCCCTACTTAAATACTTAAGAGAAATCTGTGCGCGGGAGACATTAAAGAATGATTGGTTGTGCTCGCACAGTTAAGAGCTGTGTAGGTGGACGCACAGCGTATGTGGTGTCGATGCTACGATTAGAGTTGTACCCAGAAGTCTCAGTGTAATCCAGCTGTCCAGGCCTGGAGCTTGGTTGTAACGCTGGCGACTAAACTCAACTGACAGCTCGCTTTGGCTAAAGGAGAATATGCGTTTGTCCGTCTGTCTGTCGTGTCCTTACAGAGGGAAGGACGCACGCACGCAAAGGCAGTACGGTACAGGATGGCAAAGCCCGTTTTATGTTCATGCATCAGTTCAGAAAAGAGACGACGTCAAGCGTGGAGGGGGGAGGAGGGGATGGTTGCCATGGCTACAGATTTTGGCTCTCTCTTTATTTCTCTCTCCCTCTTTTTCTCCGTGTTTTTTTTTTTTTTTTTTTTGTCTCAGTCCATCGACTCCTTGTCCTATCAGTGGGGGTTGGGATAGATGGTTTGGTTTATAAGCTGAATCCTGCAGGCTTGAGCTGTCGGAAAAGCGAGCTGGGAGATAGGGAAGGCTTTACATGGGCAAGGGCTGTTTCATATTGATGGACAGTCGGTCATCCAGACCATCTAAGCCGATCGCGTGTACACACAGGAAGCATCACGATTCTATATTCGGTGTAAAAGGTTTGACTGACATGTTCCCTCTCTCTAATGTAATTATTCATTCAGGCCTTTGTGAAGTGTCACTTTGATTACGACCCGTCTCATGATAACCTGATTCCATGTAAGGAGGCGGGGCTTAGCTTCAACAGTGGGGACATTCTGCAGATCTTTAACCAGGAGGACCTCAACTGGTGGCAGGTTAGTACAGCCACATGTGCGTATTTTAGCCACATAAGATGTTTCGATTTGTTAGCCGCTTCACGTTGCATGTGCGTTTCCCCTTCGTAGGCCTGTCATATAGAAGGTGGCAGCGCAGGTCTAATTCCAAGCCAGCTACTTGAGGAGAAGAGGAAGGCTTTTGTGAAGAGAGATCTGGAGCTCGCTACTACAGGTACACCTATTAGCGGTATGCAGCAGAGCAGAGAAGCGCTTCTCATTATGCAGATTCGATACAGGCTCCTCGCTGCACAAACACCCCGGCAACAAAGCCAACATCTGTTCTTCTCCATATCATACAAGTGCTTCATCTGGTGCTGTTCGCTCATCCTCCTCTCACCTCTTCAGTCTGCTCCTCAGTCAGAGAGCGCTGAACTGGTAATGAGCATCGGAGTGACTCAGGTGGCCTGATCCAATCTGTTGGTTATTAAGCTGCAGGGTCTGACATTCAAGCGCTACCCCTCCTCGACAAGAAGGCTTGATTGAGGAGCGGTGATAAGACAACCGTCCGTAAAATCTGATCAATAATGATCTCTCCTCTCATGAGACGTGGCGTGAAAAGAGGCCGTGTTTCTTTAGATTTGACTGCTCTGCTCTGCTCAGTGGCAACAAAACAGGTGGTGAGTCATAGCCAGCTGCATACCCTTCACTTGTAGAGGAGAGGAAGATGACAGTCCAACTGTACTGCCCTTGGAGCTCAGGAAGGACACAGCTGTCTATCAGCATGTTTTCCACATATACCAGCAGAGAGAGAATGAAACATTTGGAAATTGATACAATAATGTTTATCCACTGATCTATATAGTTGGGACACAATATTTAATAATTAGAACTATAGCTGTTCAGAACAAAGTCACAATTATTTTTTGCCCTACTTTGACAAGGTAAATTTGTCAGCAGGATAGTACTGAGTATATGAGTACTCGTGATTCCAAGTATTACTTTCCTTCTAGAAGATACTCTCTCCTATGCCAAATAATCTGCCACACAGACGGTCAGCAGATCGTGCAGTCACAGGTGTCCCTGGCAGCAGATTGGTTGTATGCAACTAATTAGTATTGGCGCACAGTGCCATCTAGTGGTCTCTGTAAAACCCTCCCATGCTTTACATTTTCATCAGCTCTTGGAGTGTTTTCAGAGGTATTTTGTTAAGTGGTTGAAGGTTTGATGTTGCTTCTCTCTCTGCTCTGTCTCAGGTCCTCTTTGTGCAGGAGTGGTGGGTAAGAAGAAGAAAAAGATGATGTATTTGACCACCAAGAATGCAGGTAACTTTATATGAGCTTTGGGCAAAATGATCCACTACCTTGTGATTTTTTTTTTTTTTTTCTTGTCTCAGTTTGACTTATTATTACTTCCTGATCAGAATTTGATCGTCATGAGTTGCGGATCTACGAGGAGGTTGCCAAAGTCCCGCCCTTCAGGAGGAAGACTCTGGTTCTGATCGGAGCTCAGGGTGTCGGCCGTCGTAGCCTGAAGAACAAACTGCTGGTGTCAGATCCCCAACGCTATGGCACCACAATCCCCTGTGAGTAAAGCTATCATCACATGACGCCATACTCACCAGTAAAAGCACAAGCAGGTTTTTGTTGTAGCTGAAGTTGAACCTTTAGTGCAGATCAGTTTAAAAAAAACCCCAAGATGTTTCTGTTTATTGCAATGACCCAGTCACCTCTAGAAAACCAAAGGTGGATGAGAGAGATGGCCAGATGTACTCCTTTATGAGCCGCAGCGAAATGGAATGTGACATCAAAAACGGGCGTTTCCTGGAGCACGGCGAGTATGACGGGAACCTGTATGGCACAAAGATCAGCTCCATACACGATGTGATAGAAACAGGAAAGATCTGCATCCTGGATGTTAACCCACAGGTAGAGGAAACAGCTTTACCTTCTTTATTTGGTTACACTTTAATTTCTCCAGGATAGAACAGCTTGTGGCTGCTGAAATGCTTTCAGTCTTTTCATCAATGTTTATCCAAGAGGATCTCTTAATGATCTGCATCCACTCAGATAATTATTTTTACACATCTTATTAACTAAGTCAGAGGAAGACGCTGCAGGTGTTTTTTAATGGGATTCTTAGCTTTTCTATTGGATTTGTTTGAGTGTTTTTGCTCATTTGCGGCAAAGTGATGCAGTGATTGTAAAACATCTGTACTGTTTCTGCTTTTCTCTTAAGGCTATTAAAGTCCTGCGGACATCTGAATTTCTGCCCTATGTTGTGTTCATCGAAGCCCCAGACTTTGAGGTCCTCAAAGCTATGAATAGGTCGGCAATTGAGTCAGGAGTTGTCACAAAACAGTTAACAGTAAGTCTGTGCTTTCATTCGTTCTCTACCAAGATCATTAGAGGCGCACAGTAACAAATGAGATGTAGCTGTTGGCTCTATGGTTTGATGCGACCCCTGTGTTGCTGGAAACAGCTCATATCAGTTACTCTGGTGGAGCATTCAAGCTCTGACAACATCTGAACCAAAACATTTGATGTGTTCCTGTAATTTTTTGTGCAATGTAGAAATATATATTTAAACTTGTAGCAAAAGTCTTTGCACATTTCCACCCCAAAACACATGTTATTATTTATTTAGTTAAGTTATTTCTTATTTAAACTGACTTTAATGCTCTCTTTATGTGCTCCTTTGGTGCACTCGCTTCCACTGCCGCTGGTATATTTAAATTGCTCACCTGACAGGTTCTAAACATTTGAACTGTGTGTGCTGCAATTTCACTTTGGACCTATAATTTGTTCAGAAAGCAAACATCACACTCTGTATCAAATGAATCCTTCATGTTAACAGAGATCATATCTCAAACCTCAGTCTTCGATTGAGTGTCCGAGCCTGAAGGCAGGTTGCCTGAGGTCAGGAGAAACACACCAAGGACACTTGTCATTTTGTGCGAGCACATTTGTCTTCCAGGGTCAGGTCATCAGTGCAGAGGAAGTATCTGAAGCAGGACATGCAGCAGAAACTGTGGTTCACACTGTTCACACAGCAGGAGTTTTCTTCACAATCATTGGTCATTGCCCACTCTACTCACCAGATTGAGACTCTTGTGACTGTCTGCTCTGACAAAATAAAATTTTAGTTGAAAAGTAGCTGTTTGGACACACCTGCATCACACACCAAAATGGGAAAAAGGTCGTAGCATGATTTCCAGAGAGCACTTTAGAAATAGAAACCTCGCTGGAAGCAGCCCAAAGAGGTGACCTTTAAGGAGAAACCGATCAAATTGACTTGAATCAGCTAGAGTTGTAAAAACTTTATGACCATGACTTGTTGTTGCATGGATTTTTGCAGTTTGAAAAATATATATTGGATTTGCTCGCTGTGGGTCGTGAAAGTTCTCTGGTTTCTTAACATTATGTCCACTCCCTTGGTGTCAGTAGCTTTAACAGTGTTTACAATTCTTTCCTTGAAGCACTTCTCCCTGACACACTCCTTTCAGGACTCAGAACTAAAGAGGACGGTGGATGAGAGTGAGCGCATCAAGAGAGCCTATGGACATTACTTTGACCTTTGCATCATAAACGACGGCCTGGAGGCGGCGTTCCGAAGTCTACGGCTTGCGCTGGAGAAACTGTCGACAGAGCACCAGTGGGTGCCTGTCAGCTGGGTTTTCTGAGAGTCACCGAGAGCTCGCCAGCAAGGTGCCAAGGTCACAGGCCAAAGGTTGAGGGACGATACATCACTGGTAGCTCCAGAGGGGGGGTGGGGTGGGTTGTTTCCACATGCAGCTATTGGTGGCAGAGGCGTGTGGTGAAGAAGCGGATACACTGCAGAAGACCAGCCTCATGTAGATCATTTTTTTTGTACAAAGTTAGTGTTCCTCTGTTGAGCCTAAGGTCAAGTTGTACTTTATTTGTCAGAACTGGAATAAAGCTCTATTGATGTTTGTAAAGAAGGACTTAGAGGTAATTATGAGGTTCAGTGCAATAGTGCGAGTGAGTGTGCGTGTGTTATCATAAATGTGGATATAGACTTAGAGTAATGCATATGTTTTGCAAGTAACAGTGCTATGTTGGAGGTTTTCCTTGAAGGACATTTAACGTTTTAGCCTTTGAATCTTAAATACTTTATGTAGTGTAATGTTTACATTGGATCGGTAGGACAGATTGGTTAAGGATAAAAGATACCAAATGTCATATTTGTATCAAATTCTCTATATTTTATCATTTGATCATACAGTATGATTGTATGTGTTCAGAACTGTGCGTGATCTCGTTTGTGTCCACAGATTTGAAAACTGAACAGCAATAGATCATTTTGAAGATACATGCAATACACACGAGATACCCTAATGTGCACACACACACACTCTCATATATATATATATATATGTATATGTATACAGAAACAGAGTGAGACCTTCTGCAGTATTCCTGAAGTCTCAGTTTGTTTTAGTTGCTTTTCAATGTTGAATACGTTGAACATTTCCTGTCCCGTGCTGGTAAAGCTCTAGTTTGCTTGACAGTTAAAGGATCCAGCCAGTGGATCACAGCGTGTCACTTCTGTCTGCTTGATTCTGTCGGACTTGTATTTGTAGCACTGAGAACACTTAAGCTCTATTAAGAAAAAGAAAGAAAAATACCTGACGAAGTAGCCTACAATATGCACTGATTGTGTAATGAAGGCAAACATGTAACCTAACATTGCTGGTTGGCTAGTTGATGGAAGTTTTTTTGTTATTTTCATGTACAAACAGTAAAAATATTTATCAGTGGCTTCAATTTAATGCTTACTTTTGCCTTAACATGGTTGAAAAGCCAAGGAAACGTTATATTTTTTCATCATGTAACATTTCACTTCTATCACTGTACATGTTACTCAGAAAATTAAAAAAAAAATTCTGGCAACGTATTCATTGTTTATGTTATTTTTCCTTCAACCTGTACGTACTGTATTGTAATAAAGAGTATATAATGCAACATATAGAAATACATGGTGCTTTTATGGTTCTACCAGGGATCTACTACACTGTAGTCTGAATCTTCCTATAACAACTATTAAAATTGAAATAGAGAATATGCATAGTGCATAATCATTTTTAAAAATCAAGTTATATTCAATAAAAGAGAAAACAACACTGTTTTAAATGCATATATGAGACATAATACATTCTGCTGTTGTTGACAGTTCAAGTCGAGTGTAATCTGTGTGACCTCTGAGGATTTGGGTGAGCAGAATTATTGCCCGAGGATGATGCGGTTGGTTGTTGATGTCCAGTTGGTGTCATCCAGTAATGAGGTGCCAGAGGCAGCATTATTGGATACATGTCATAGGCAGGCGGTGGGCTACTCGGGCAGACACCTATGAGCCTGGGATCAAACTGTAGGAAAGTAGAGTTCAAAGTTAGACTGTCCTTACACAGTTCAGTTTGAATTTATGGCACAGTGTTTAATTGCATTGCCTGTAAAGCTTTTTCCCAGCTTTTCCCAACACTCAGTAAGCTTTAGATTAGTTCAATCACTGGAAACATCTGGAAATGGGAAACGATTGTGTGCAGCCAAGAAGCAGTTCTGTACACAAGCTTGTTTTATGTTTTAGTTTTTGCAGTGATTAAGCCACCATAAATAAACCAGCGGTTCACTGGTGAGTTTAACAGCAACTGCTAAATGAGCCTTATTGCTTTATTTTTGCCAGACTCCGACTGTTTTCCCTGCAGTCTTTGTGCTAAGGCTAAGCTAACTGGAAAAGCTTTGTGTTTTCAAAATAAAGATAAAAATTATGTTGGTTTTCTTACTAGTTTGTAGGTTTGAAATTAATAACCAGTGCTGTGTGAAAAGTGTTTTTTCTCTTGAAGACATTGCGGTCCTTTCAAGATAATGCGGGCTGGAATTTAATCATTTCATTAATTTATTTTTTCTGCAATTCAAATCTCTGTAGGACAAATCTGTTTGTTTTTTTCATTTATCATTTGCTCATGCGGGCATATCCATCACATAGATGTGCACCACAAAGGCTTACATGCACTATATGAACAAAGTAATGGGGCACCTAGATATTACATCTCAGCCATGGTCATCCATGCCATTAAGCTCAATTTCTGCACATCATGTGCCTCAGCATTCAGCAACCTCCTAAACTTTATATGGTCTGCCACTTGCTGCATATATTTTTTTGGTTCCCACATGCTTCTACTTTGCATTTGATAAGGGAAACATATAGGTGGGAAAACATTCACATTCACTTGTAATGGTGGCATCTTGGGATGGTGGGATGCCTTGAAAGTTTGGAAAGAAGGCAAGTGGACTTCTTGTTGGTTTGTGAAGAGGCTAACTCAAACAACTAATGGAGAGTCCCAGGTATTTAACCTTGGAGGTAGCCCTGGGGGTCATTGAGCCATGATTAATCATCTGAGTCGTTAGGGTCATATATACTTTGTTTTACATCGTAACGACTCAGATGATTAATAGTAGGTCAACAACCTCCCAGGCCACCTCCAAGGAGACACACCCCACTAGAGAGTAAATACTCCATCTGCTGTTTTAGAACTGAAGAAGCCTCTTGGATGAAAGGTGAAATGTCTTCACAAATCAAAGAAAAGAAGCCCAGTTTCTTTCTTTTTTGTCACTCAAGACTACCATTAGTAATCTGTGTGAATCTACACAGGCTTAATAATGGAACTCTAGTTCTGTCTGTTACTCTATACCAGGTTTCACCACTGGAGACAGATCCATCCCTTAGGCTCATAGCTCAAATCTATGTGCAATGTGATTCAGAAGCTAACTATAGAATTTGGTCACGCACCAGTGAGTATGGTGGTGGGAAATCCACTGTGCTGTAGCGAGGAGGATCATAACGTGTGTCCACTTCTGCCTGATCCTCCGACGAAGAAATGGGTGATGAAGAATTGGTGTCATCTTGCATCGGTATGATGACATTAAATTCTGCTCTTTTCTTTTTTGCATGGATATAGAAGCAGAATAGTATACCAGCTACGGCAAGGACTAAGACTGGGAACCTGGGAACACATTTATACCATTTTAAGATTTAATAATCGGCAATCCCTTTTGTTTATAGAGATTTTATCTTGACAAAACGAAACAACTCACATATATTGAAGGATATTCACCGCCTCAGTCGTTGCTGGAATTGGGTCCATCTGCAGGCATTACTGCAAGAAAAAAGAAAGCCTTTTAAAGACGTCCAGTGCAGGAAAAGACTTACTGCTTCTCCGTGCTTCTTACTGAATTCAATTCAATATTAGCGACAAAACCCAACAACAGTTGCCTCGAGGCACTTTACTTTGCAAAGTGAACCAGAGAAAACCCCAACAATCATATGACTCCCTATAACTAAGCATTTTGGAGACAGTGGGAAGGAAAAATTTCCTTTTAACAGGATGAAACCTCCAGATGACCCACGCTTAGGGAGGGCCATCTATCGCAACGGGTTGGGGTGAGGGGAGGCAGACAGGACAAAGACACGTCGTGGAAGAGAGCCAGAGATTAATAATAATAATTAAATGGAAAGAGATGTATAAACACATAGTGAATGAAAAAAGCTCCACACCACAATCCACTCATGTCAAATACAGACTTTCATTAACTGTGATAAATCCTTGAAATGACAATCATTCATGATTTAATCTGTATTTACTTGGTAAAAGAAATACATAAATAAAAAAATTTATAATGTCCGTGCTACTCTACATGATAATAAAACAATAGGAAGGTCTTCCTAACATAAATCATAGAGATAAAGCTAACAAAAAGCATAGCATCATAACGTAATGATGTGTCTCCCTTTAGATAATGCTTTATGTGAGCATATAGGAACAGTTACTATATGAGACTTGAAGTACTGACTTTAAGTTGAAGGTCTACCTGTAGTCACTCTATTATTGATGTGTTTGTCAGCAGCCTATAGAAGAAGCAGACAGTATCTCCCTTTGTGCCGCACTGAGTTTTAACAGATCGCACCTGTCATCCCATAAAAATGAAACTTAGTACAACTGTAGGTAAAAAAAATAAAAACAAAGTTGATTTTACAGAATTTTTACATATGACACACCAATATGAAAACTTGATTTTAAGCCTCATTCTAATATTATAGTAGCATGAGCTTACCGTATTTCAAAATGCAAACATACAGAAAGTGTCATGACCTGTCGCTTGTTATAAAAGATAATATGTCACTTAGGGAGGTGCAGTGTGAAGAGCTTTTACTGCAATATGGTCTTTCTTAAAGACACAGCAACACAGGACTGAATAAAACCATTGTAAATTAAAGCTTTTAACCGCCATTTATAAACCTGTCATATCTTATACAGGAATACATATTTTTAATGGTGCAATGCATCATGGTCATAGTGTTTCCCTTCACATAGCTATCACAGATAATCTAAGATATCCTCATACAATTAATTTATGGTTTCTCATCATTTTTATGCAATAAATAAATAAATAAATAAATGTTAGAAAGACTGTTACTTCTAACACAATACATTTTGCAGTACTGAGAGGAAAATTCTGTTTGCATAGATGATGTTTACCATTTACTAATATCATTCTAACGCCAAAAAACCCACACATGAACAGGTGAGTCTGTAATACTTTGAGTCCTCCATGTCTTATCACTTAAAAGAGTCTAAAAAGATATCTGATATTTACAAATTTGGAAGCACTCAAAATATTTAGATGATTGAAATACCTGAAAATTGTAACTGACCAATATCCTTGCCAGACTGATTGCCCATTTCCTCTGTTGGAATATATTAGTTTTATTTGTAGTGTTTACATGTTAACACCTGTTAAATGACATTATCTTGTTTTCTTTTAATCCCCTTTTCTTGTGGCAGTTGAACTATAAAATGCAAGAGATGTGGACTGTGACATACCAAGTGATGGCCCGTCATGGCAGATGAACAGGAGCCATTTATCTTAAATATGTAATCTAGGAAGTGACATTCAAAATTTTTTGGGGGAGCAACAGATGTTTAAAAACCCCATTAACCAGAAATCAGTGATGTGAACAACATAAACCTTCTCGCTCAGCAGTAGAATGACAGTTAGTGGTGCCACGCTAAAATCTCTGGCTTTAGAGACAGCTCCTGCTTATAAAGAATCTAATCACAATAATGATAATAAAAATTGTAAAATACTATCCAAGAGTAACAAAGTGCATCACTCAAATGCACAATATTGAAAAAATACAAAAGCTTGAAGACCAAAAAAAATTATTTTAACTAAAAATATAAATTAGGGAAATATTTCACATATTCTGAGAATATCTCATTCTAGATAATAATAATAATAATAATAATAATAATAATAACGTAAATGCATGAGTTTGTTGTGCATTTTTTAATGGGAGCTGTTTTGTCTCTGTCTAAATTTGCTTGGTCGTAACATGTAGGACTTATTCGACTGTAGACCCCTGAGTAACCTGACAAATTACTGCTGAGTGGAGAGCAAAGTGATCACCATCAGAAACAAAAAGCTTAAAATTAGTCAGAAACATTTAAACTACTGTACACCCTGATAGAACAAAGAATGTGTAATAAATATCACTGTATTAAAAGCTGAACGTCAGGTACAAAGGTGGAGCCATGTCAGCTGTTAATAAGATAATTATTAACTTAATTATTAAGATGATGTGTTTTTTTTTTATTTTCTCAAAGATTTATTTATTGCTTTTCCAACAACATTTTAACCAACAGGAAGACAGAGTTCAAATAAAATAGAGGAGGAAATTAATAAAAAGAATTGAGTGTATAATAATAATGTATGTACATCGTGTATGAACAGTGTAGGGGAAACACATAGATATAGTTACACATACTCTCCCATGTAGATCATTCAGATATTATTCCAGAAAAAAAAATTATATATAGATAAGTAAAATAAAATAAATCA